GGTCAGGGGACTCTTGGCCCCTCCCTGTGCACTGAGGGGCGTGGTCAGGGGACACCTGTACACTCCCTGTGCAGTGAGGGGCGTGGTCAGGGGACACCTGGCCCCTCCCTGTGCACTGAGCGCCACCTGCACTAGGCAGCGGAGTAGGAGCGCGGGTTCCTGCTGGCCCTGATGCAGCCTGAGGACAGGTGCCCGTGGAGGGACCGTCCACCGCGGACGCCCTAGAGGAAACGCCCCGCGCCGCGGAACGCAGGGTGCAAGGTGCGGGCGTGGCCTCCAGGCGCGGGCGGGTGGGAACGGGCAGCTGAAGGGCTGGGTGTCCTTCTGGGGTCGAGGGCCTCTGCCCTGGACGGAGGTGGCCTTCCTCGGTCCTGAGCCGCCCGGTGTGCACACTGGGAACACGGGTCACAGGTCGGCCTGTTGTCCCCTCAGGAGGACAGCGGCGCCCACTGCTGTGGGTTTCCCTGCCCTTCCCTGGCTCCGGGCTGGCCATCGTGAGGAGCTGCCCAGTCTTGGTGGCAGGCCCAGGGCGTCCCTTCTCGGGGCCTCCCGGGGCGAGCTTGGTGGACACTGCCCTTCCCCCTGCACCCCGTCCTGGGTCCTCGGCTGACCGGGCAGGCAGGGTCGCTCTCGTCCCCCCTGCGCTTCCTGCTGGCCTGGCGTCCGCAGAGACCGCCGGCTCCGCGCGCCTCAGCCGTGTCCTGGGGCGGCAGAGGCCAGGAGTGTTCGCGGGCCCCGGGGGACAGTGACCGCGCGGGAGGAAGGCTGCGGGGTCCCAGGGCTGCCGTGGGCAAACGGGGGTGGGAGGGGCTTCAGCCATGCAGCTGCTGGGTCTCCGTGGCCACCCACCCAGCCTCACCCTGCCCAGCCCTGCAGGGTCGTCTGTCCCGGGTCCCCTCCGGGAGGCCTGTCCAGGCCCACTGCACTGACCATCCTGAGGGACAGCGGGGACGTCTCTGTCCACGCCTGACGGTGCCTTCGCCTCCTGCGGACGGGCGACAGCCACCCCTTACAGGACGGCCACGGTCACCGCTCGGCTCCGAGTGACACCCAGGCTGCCTCAGGCTCTGCCCCGCGGTGTCCGGCCGCGTGTCCTGGGCAGCTCTGTCTATCTATCTGGGGGGCAGCTGACAGACTCATCCCGGCCCTTTTCTTCACTTGGGTCGAGGCTGGGCCTCGCCAAGTGGCCTCGCCGAGCTGCCGAGGCTGGCCTCCAACTCGCCGTCCTCCACCCACAGCCTCCCGAGTCCCTGGGTTCAGGTGTGACCCAGCTTCCGCCTGGAGCCCCGGGAGCCTGGGAGCCCGTGAGGGAGCTCGGCGGGGACCCCGGTCCCCTGACCGCCCGCCCTCTAGGTCCCTCCCTGTGGGGCTGGGAG